TTTTTTTTTTTTTTGAGACAGAGTCTCAAGCTGTCCCCCTGGGTAGAGTGCCATGGCTTCACTGCTCACAGCAACCTCCAACTTCTGGGCTCAAGCGAGTCTCCTGTCTCAGCCTCCCAAGTAGCTGGGACCACAGGCACCCACCACAAAGCCCGGCTATTTTTTGGTTGCAGCCATCATTGTTGTTTGGTGGGCCTGGGCTGGATTCGAACCTGCCACCTTAGGTGTATGTGGCTAGCACCTTAGCCGCTTGAGCCACAAGCACCGAGCCTACAATTTTAAAAAATAATGAGAAAATGCTTGATAGCCTAGAAATTAAACATCCTTTTAAATAATCCATGCATAACAGAATAAACAAAAATAGAAATTCAAATTATTTGAACTGAATGAAAGTGAAGGCATAACTTAATTAAACTTGTAGCATATAGCTAAAGCAGAGCTTAAAATAAGCATACTTTAATACATACATTAGGAAAGAATATTAAAATGAAATCAATGATTTAAACATTTATCAAAAGAATGTCAGAAAAATTAGTAAATCAAACCTAAGGAAATTTCGTAAATGCCAGGAATAATAAAGATAAGAGCAAACTCCAAGACAACATACTCCAAAGGCCAAGACCATATTACTTCAGTAGGGAATTCTTCTAAAAGAAGAAATTCTTTAAAACAGAATTAACACCAATCTTATCTGAACGCTTCTGGAGAATGAAAAAAGAGGGACTACTTAACTCTTTTTATAAGATCAACATTACCTTGCTCCAAAACCTGACAGGTACAGTAGAAGAAAGAAAAATTATAGGATAATATCTCTCATAAACATAGGTGTAAACATTTAAAAATACTAGGAAATAAAATCATCAACATATAAAAGTACGTAACGCAAAGCAAGTGGGGCTTACTTCAGGAAAGCAAGTGTGGATTAACTGGAAAGAAATCAATGGAATATACCACAGTAATAAAAAAGAAGAAAAAAATAATTTGATCTTGTTGATAGAGACATAAACAGATTTTGACAAAAATCTAATTATGGCGTAAAAAACTCACAGCAATTGGGAATATAAAGAAAACTACAGCAAATATCATATTCAGGCTCGGCGCCTAT